TTCTCATCACGCTGGCACAATGTCGGTTTGCGTCCTTGAACCTGCCTACGTGCTTGCTGTGCATCGCGTAACATTTGATAATTCCCAACTGCATACGAGCGAAGTGAAACCTTTCCGATGCGCTCATAGGCCACCGTAGTCAGCAATTGCGCGTTTCCTGCGAGCTCGTTACCAGCGCGGAGATCTCGTTTACTTTTGTCACTCGCTGTGTTGAAATAAAGGTCTGACTTCTGCCGTCTGACCTGATGGCAGAAAACCATGTAAGGATTTAAGCCTGCTCCTTGCAAATCTGCCTATCTGTGAAATCAACTTTGAGCAGAATGTGAACAATTCCAAAGGGAAATTCAAGAATCCCACATGGAATGCACAAAATGCTGCAGTTACGGAGCTCCAAAGTCCAATATCGGCCCCACACAGTACGGCATTCGCCCAATTCACCTACGAGTCCCCGACATCTCAACCTCTTGTTTGTCCAGGGCTGAATTTACGACGGGAAAATATGCAGAGTACTCACCAGCAGCTACGCTTTCCCAGGGGCTGGGTTCAGCAAGTTTAGGCGACGGGTTAAGGTACTGGAGACTGGGCCTTCAGCATGATTAACGAGTTTCATTCATTATACAGGCGGCGACTGTTCATTGGGACATGCAATTGCCGCCTTATCCCCGTGCCCTCCTGGCGAATCCAAGCGCGAGCGCCCACGGTTCACCCACGCGCAGCCAGAGCCGATGCCGTCGCCTCCCCCAGGCAAGCTCTAGCAATCCACACGCTCATCCACACGCTCATTCACAAAATCAACATCGCTTTGCTCCCACCCTTGTAATCCTCCAATGCGTGCGACTTGGTGCCCGCATACGGTGGGCCCATCTTACCTCAACCCCGGCTACCTTTTCTGCTATCCAAATCCCCAACTTCTCTATTTCTTAGAGGCAGCAGCAGCAGCAGCAGCAACAACACCCCAGCGGCAGCACCCGCGGCGGCACTCCTGCACTGGGCCTGTAGCGGCTGGCCCGGGCCCCAATACGACGATGGCGACGGCGATGACGACACAACCAAACCCATCGCTGCCGCCGCCACCGCCGCCGCCGCTGGTCGTGAGAAAAGGCTTGGACTGCGTGTAGTAGTACGGGACTTAGGTCCCGGCCGCGGCCGAGGGCTGATAGCAGCAGCCGACCTGGCGCCCGGGGAAACGCTGCTCAGCGTGCCTCTCACACGCGTCTTCACCAGCCAGGTGCGTCCGTGTGTGTTTTGGTCTCGTGCCGTCCCGTGGCGACCTCAACTTGCAGCTAAGATAAGATAAGATAGGGCCTACAAAAGATTCTACCGCACACGCGCCTAACCAAGTACTCGGCCACACCTAGCGCCGGCTCGCCCAGGAACCACCGTTTACCTCAGCCCCGCATTGCCGCGACCAGCAAAGGTGTGACGACGACCTCCTCATGGGCCTCGGTGCTGCGGCCCGAGGGTGCCATGGCGCTGTGTCTTGAGGCGCTCTGGTAAGCCGCCATGTGTGGACTGCATGGAGTCGATCCAAAGCCGGATCCAGGTTGGATCCAAATCGGATGCCAGGGAACACAATACCTCATGAACACAAACCGTACATCGCAACGCATTGCTACTACTACTATTACTACTGTTAGTCCAACAGTCCGTACACAACGTAGTAGTGTGCTCGTCCATCACATCCGGTCCACTTCCCCCTGTCTCGTGCACCGCCTTCACACGCCAATCCGGTTTACCTGGCCGTACGGGCCGTACGGCCCCCCACGGCTCCCTCCGCTTCCCTGGCTCCTTGTCGTACCTTTTGGCCAGTCGGATTCGGAGTTACATTGGTCCGCTGAAATGGCACTTCGCCTGCTCCGAGCTCGGCACCTTTCATTGGCGGTAGCGGCAACGGCAGCGTCAGGCCCGGCAATGATATCAGCACCGGCAGCAGCCGCCGCCGCCGCAGCAGCAGGGGCGTCCCCTATCCGGATGAACAGTCCATCGCGTGAATCAGCCAGCCAACAACAGGGCGAATGTGGCGGTGATGTCAACCCAGCAGCAGCACCAGTAGCACCAGTAGCAGTAGCGGCAGCGAAGGAAACGGCGGCCGCGGCAGGCAGGGATGAACCCGACGCGGGGCCGGAGTTGTTGGGCGAGGCGGGCTGGGGACCTTGGATTGCGGCACTGCCGACCGCAGTACGGACACCGCTCGAGTACGACGACGAGGAGATACGACAGCTGGGGTGTCCGTATGTGATGGAGGAGGTCCGGGTTATGCAGCAATGCGTGCGAGACTGTTACGAGGTGGGCGCTTGGTGTTCGCTAGGGGTGTGCGAGGAGAGCTGCTGGACTGTGTGGAGACCCCGATATCCTGCCCGCCCACTGCCATTATCGTTGATCATCATCATCATCATCATCATCATCTATTTATGTCATCAACATTACCCTCACTCATCTATGTCAGATAAATTCGGCCCCCGTTATCGAGCCCTCGATAGCATCTTCTCGTACTTGCCGTACATCTGTTAGCCGTACAGCCGAAATGTTGGCTTGCTATCCCCCCTATCGGGGTCTCTTGACCCCACCAGCACAAGTGGTATTGCCTAGTTAGGCGCGCACCTTTAGCTGAGTTTAGCTGACTTACATGGTGGGGGTCTTGGAGTGACGAACACGCTGTATCGGTGCGAAAAAATCTGGATTCATGCTGGATAGCGAGCAGCGGAACGGCTAAAGATGTGCGGCATGTACGAAGGAGCTTAAAGACGGACAACGAGGTGTACAAGGAGTGGGACGGCGATGCTAAGGCCATGTTGCGGGTCATATGCACTGATGCGCCTGCCCTTGTTCCGATTACCACTGCTTGACTACTATGGCTGCTGCTGCTACTGCAGCTGCTGTTGCTGCTGCTACTGCAGCTGCTGTTGCTGCTGCTACTGCAGCTGCTGTTGCTGCTGCTACTGCAGCTGCTGTTGCTGCTGCTACTGCAGCTGCTGTTGCTGCTGCTACTGCAGCTGCTGTTGCTGTTGCTACTGCAGCTGCTGTTGCTGCTGCTACTGCAGCTGCTGTTGCTGCTGCTACTGCAGCTGCTGTTGCTGCTGCTACTGCAGCTGCTGTTGCTGCTGCTACTGCAGCTGCTGTTGCTGCTGCTACTGCAGCTGCTGTTGCTGCTGCTACTGCAGCTGCTGTTGCTGTTGCTGTTGCTACTGCAGCTGCTACTGCAGCTGCTGTTGCTGTTGCTACTGCAGCTGCTGTTGCTGTTGCTACTGCAGCTGCTACTGCAGCTGCTACTGCAGCTGCTGTTGCAGCTGCTACTGCAGCTGCTGTTGCTGCTGCTACTGCAGCTGCTGTTGCTGCTGCTACTGCAGCTGCTGTTGCTGCTGCTACCGCTGCTACTGCAGCTGCTGCTGCTACCTTTACTTGGCTGCGGCCTGTGCTGCAACTAAACCCTTCGGGGCCGTTCGCATATCTGCCTTGCCTCCGTCAGTTTTATTTTAAAACCTTTTGCCATGTATCTTTGCCTTCGTACCCGTTTGTTTCGTCTGCCCATCTGTCTGTCTGTTTGTTTGTTGTTTCCCCAGGTATTGCGGCCAGATTTGGCGGAGCTGGGTTGCGGCTGGCGGGACTTCCTCTGGGCCGTGCAGGTGCTCCGCAAGTCCGTCACGCGCGTGTGTATGTATGTATGTATGTATGTATGTATGTATGTATGTATGTATGTATGTATGTATGTATGTATGACCCTGTATAACCCTGTATGACCCTGTATAACCCTGACACCTGCGGCTCCACGGTCTGTCCCGGGGGGCCAGGGTAGGTTGCCGGGCGGGTGGGGCCGCTGAATGCTGCCATGGGTGGCATTGGCGGTGAAGGGTCTGCTGGGCGGGTTTGCTGGGTGTGGTGCCCCGCCGCCTCTCGTTGCCTCCGCTGCTGCTTGCGAAGCTCCTCCCGGGGTGGTGGACAGCGGGGCATAAGGTAGGGGTTCACCTCGAGGTTGGGTGACAGCTTGGCGGCCTTTAAACAGCCGACCTGGTGCTGCTCGCCCAACCACCCGTAGTACTCATAAGGCATCTCACATGGCAAGCCCCGGTGATCCCGGGGCAGGGTGAGCTGCCAGGTGTCGGCCATGGCCGTGGGGATCAGGTAGATAAATTCCGTCGCTGTGCGGGGCTGATGGCTGGTGCTGTATGCCCTGGCGAGGAACTCAGCGACCCCGTGGACGCTGAGTTTGGTGGGGACTCCCTTAATCTCCCACTGTACCGGCAAGACTTTATGCAGATTTTTGATCTGCAGCTCCACCTCGATGGGGTCCTCGTTGGGGCATAGTTGCACCCCACTAACGCGAATGCGTTCACCGTAGGCTTCGAACAAATGCGCTAATCCACCTTTTGGCACCATTATGGAAAATTCCATCGCGATGTTGTTCTCAGCCCCAGCTGCGTATAAGAGCCGCTTCTCAATGCGTGGGCCGCCCCACCATGTGAACTCGGTAGAGCTGAAATGCTGCCCCAGCGTCGACCGAATAGCTGTTCCTAATGGTCCATATATCTGAGCCATTAAGTCATTCCGGTCGGACCTCGCTGGCCAATGGACGACGAGGTCAATGGTTTCCAACTCCAGCACCGAGCTGTATTTGTGGCCGTCCAGCGTTACTACGTTAAAGGCGTTAATCCGCTTTGGAGCTGCGTTTGCTCTGCCAGCGTTTGGAAGCTCTGTCGGTTTTCTCGTGCCGCCATTTCCAAGCGTCCTCGGCGCGGTAGTCCGCGGCCGTTTCCTCTGAGCCATTCCGTTCGCCATTTCTATCCTACCATTTCTGAGATGAATAGGTTGGCAATTAGTTTGGCAACTGCGGCCGTGTGCGGCCGATGTCCATGGTAGCAATCAGGTTGCAGTCTAACGATCAGGTCGTCATTATACACCCATACATGTATGTATGTATGTATGTATGTATGTATGTATGTATGTATGTATGTATGTATGTATGTATGTGTGTGCGTTGAATGAGCCGGGAGAAGGGAATAGCAATGAGGGGCTGGCACACGAGCAACTTTAACCTTGGGCTCGACTTGCCCCAGCTGGCAGCCGAAAAGCCCCCTCCGATGGTGGGAATGCGCTTTAGCGCGTATTCACGGTTAATAGTGTGCCGTACTGTACGACAGCTTCTGCAACCTGCCCTTGACCTGGCCTTCATCTGCTCTTGATCTGGCTGTTATAATAGGTCTTCCACAGCCGTTGCTTCTATGAGCCCGGCAGCCGCCTGCACATGTGCGTGCCCGGAGTGGACCTGGCCAACCACAGCCCCCGACCCAGCGCTGAAGTCCGACTTCAGCACAGCCCGGCAGCCTGCCAGGGCTACGAGGCGCTGGCTGAGGTTGCGGAGCCGCCGCCTCCGGAACCCAGCCGCTTCAACCTGTTGGCGGGCGAGGGGGGAATACGGTGAGAGGGGAGTAAAACAAAACACCCACGATGTGTTGGGTGTTCGGGGCCCTATGCGGTACTTGACCAGATGGCCAGATAGGGCTGACTACGTGGCGAGCTGGCGAGCTGGCTGGTTCCAGAAAGGGTTATGCTGTTATGAGTTGGGAAGTCTGATGGGGCCTAGGTGCGTCTTCCCCCTAAGTGCGCCTTCGCCAGGGCTGTGTATGGCCGCGAGCCAGATGGAGGTGTGTATTTGATTTCAAGAGATCGAGAGATATTTATTGACTTGCGGGCGGCATCTCATCTCATCTGATCTCATCTGATCTCATGGAGAGGTGCTTCTTTTCTCGTCCAGTTTGATTCTGCTGTCTGTCTTTTATCTTGTTGCTGTTTCTTGCCGTGCCGCAGCTACCTACACCGCTGCCCTGATGTCTTTTGCTGACCGACCAACCGACCACCCGACCGACCGACCGACTTGCATTCGCAGGTGCGGTGATGAGGTAACCATTAGCTACGGCTGCTGGCCTAGTGAGGGATTCCTGCTGCTGTTTGGGTTCGTACCCACAGTCAGCATTGCTAGCACCAGCAGCAGCAGCAGCAGCAGCAGCAGCACCACCACCACCACCACCACCACCACCACCACCAACAACAACTGTGAGAATGCGGACTGCTTGCATCCGGAAGGCAACAGCGGCAGCAACACCAGCATTTGCCCCGGCGAAATTCTGACGTTGTTTGGGGACGCGGAGGAGGCGGTGAGGTGGAGCTTGGCAGCAGCGGCGGCGGCGGAGCCGGTGGACGACAAGCAGCAGCAGCAGCTTCAGCTGGCTGGTAAGGACGGTGCGTGTATGTGTATGTGCGCGTGTGTTGGGGGGAGAGCGGGCTGCATTTATTTCTCTGATGAGTGTTTGTATTGAATTGAGCCACGATAAGGAAATGGAGAGGTGACGAGTGACGAAAGACGACGAGAGGACACGATGACGAGTGGGCGTCCTCAAGCCTTTCCTGGTTTGTTTCTTGTGCTTATGTTTCAGACCTGCAGGGCCTGCAGGTATGTCTGATGCAGTTCTGTAGCATCCTTTTGTTGCAAAATGGGGGTGGGGTAGAAAGCAATGCCGCTCGTCCGTGGGTGGTCGGTCGCGTACGCTGGGAGGGCCGCCGCCCTGGGCCCGGTTGGGGCCGGGGAGGGCGGGCTGGGGAAATGCTGGCATCGGGGGCGATGAGGTTTGTTACGTAATGGGTAGGGTAGGCAACGCCAAAAGACATAGACCGTAGTCTGCGCACTAACAGCCGCGCGAGGATCGCTTGCTGGGCGCTTTAGGGATTAATGGTAGCCAAAGGTGGTCTAACCAACACCCCTTAGGTTTTAGGTATATAACATCAATTTTGTGCCTGGTGTCTTTGCCACTGTCCCAGGCTCCGACGAAGCCAAGAAGGTCGAGGCCATCCTACGCGATGTCGAAGCATTAATGCCTGGGGAAGCCTTCTATAATTTGGCTATCACATCAGAAGGTGTCGATGGCAGGCTTCAAGTTGTGCTGCAGGCCGCATCTCAACATCTTGGTCTGAACCCGCGGGACTTTTTACGACGCCGAGTGCAAGAGCGCTTAGCGCAATTCGAAAATGTGGATGGCAACAGTTTCGACGGCGCGATTGGGTGTTTTGTGCGCAGCAAGCGTGCGCTGGCGCAGTGTATCTTGACCCAGCTGTAACTTGTCGGCACAAGAATTGCTGCATTTCCCATGGCGAGCTTTTACAAAGATATTTTTGCCCTCGTTAAGCTGTGTCAGCGGTGAGCTGCTGTGTAACACAGCAAAGGCGTAACCCGGGATGCTCAGATTGGCATTTGCGTCGTTACATTGCCCCCCACTTAGCAATGGACGTCCTCGGCCATTATTTCGAGCACAGGAGCCATCCCACCTCGCGCCAGTGCGCTGGTTTATCCATTACACCATGAAATCGCCAATTTGCGACTTGCTGGTTGCCAGAATCGAACCGCCGACCCGAAGTTTATTTCGGTATTCGTGCGGTCCCGTCTCGATACCATTGTAACACAGCAAAGGCGTAACCCGGGATGCTCAGATTGGCATTTGCGTCGTTACATTGCCCCCCACTTAGCAATGGACGTCCTCGGCCATTATTTCGAGCACAGGAGCCATCCCACCTCGCGCCAGTGCGCTGGTTTATCCATTACACCATGAAATCGCCAATTTGCGACTTGCTGGTTGCCAGAATCGAACCGCCGACCCGAAGTTTATTTCGGAATTCGTGCGGTCCCGTCTCGATACCAAAATTGTAACAAAGCTTGCAGTTGGCAAGCAGTTGCGAAAAAGGAAATTATCCAACGATAAAAGGTGGTATTGATAAATACCGTTTGGTATTGGAAGATTATGAATAGTTCTTGGATGTACCGTTGGTACGATACCGTTGGCCCGGTGAGCCAAGGGCCGCCTTAGCGGCGTTACATTCCCCCCCTCTTGAATGCGAACCCGTCCTCGGGGCGCCTTGAGTGAGGTGGATAATTGGGGATAACTTGCGCTACGATTTTGCAGCGGAATCCGTGGATACGGAGCGACGTATGCACCTGACCTTGGAGGCGGGCGCTATTTGCGCCGTCTCCTAGCATGCAAGTAGCTACGTGGCTAGTGAGGGGCTGTAAACCCCGTTTTTGCACAAGTGTGGCGGATATGAAAACGTGCGAAGCACCTGAGTCGACTAAGGCGACAGCTTTTGTGCTAGTAAAGTTGCACGGTAGTAGTGGCGCGGTGTTTTCAGTCAGAGGTTCTAGTGCAGAACACTTGGACTTTTCCTGGCAGGGGTCGAGCCATGCTTGAAACTCGCCGCTGCAGTTTGGGGACCTGGTGCGACCACCTCCGGGTTTAGGTTCGGAGAAGATATTGGAGTTTTTTGTAAACTCTTTGAGTAAGGTCCAACCGCGTGTTTGAAATTCCTTTTCTAGGTGGGCACACTTGGGCACCAAAATAACCGCACTAGTTGTGTCCGGAGCGCGCTGTTTAAAAGTGCTGAAGTTATTCAGCCAAGGAATCGCGCGATCGGCTGGTGCGTTGCACCAGATATGCTGTCCACTAAGATTATGCGAAGTGAACGAGTCTGGACAGGCAAAGTTAGGACAGAGGGAATTGTCGCTTCGTACGTTACAAGATGAACGTGAACACCCGACCCGAGGCCTTCTGCAGACGCAAAATACTGAACGAAGTACGCAGTGGCTGCAGTCCACCGTTGGTGGATTCCGGGTTGGTTCCTCTATGTCCCCACACGAGCTGCCGAGGCTACGGCGTGGGCAACTTCCTAGGCATCCGCTTTTTTTTGC